AGGTGCACCCAGCTAATGCCAATATAGTTTAGTTTACGAGTTATAGGGTTTTAGAGTTAGTAATGTTTACGTGAATATTATCAACAATATCACTGGTAACAATAAATGTTTGTGTAATATTTGTAAAAACTACATATAATAATTCGTGTTAAATGACATGTCTAGTTTTCTTAGTGTAATCAAAGTAAACTTTAAGCTTCGCTAAATCGAGAAGTAGGCTACACTAGCACATAACATATTGGACAAAGATACTGAAAATAGTTGATATATTATTATCCGTTATCAGATTGATGTGCTTGGAAATCGGAATCATGCCATATTTTACATTAAATTCATTTTCTGAAACGTAATCAAACCTTTTCAAATAACTTATGGCAATGGTCACTAACAACAGGTAAGGGGAACATGGAAAGCTTTATAATGATACATCCTTGTAATTAGAACATTTTTTAGTAAAAGTTATTTTCTCTCAACAAAAATAAAATATTTTTAACCTATAGAAAATAGAAAATAGTGTGTGAATAATTGGAGCATCATACTATTATCAAAATAGGTCTTCTTGCTTAACAGAATAGAACGCCAAAATGGCCTTTACTGAGAAGGTCTGAGTCTTAAAAGGAATCGGAAACTTAGATTAAAACCAAACGGTCACAATAAAATAGACCTATATCAGTCTGAATCTTCTACTTAAATCTATCAAAAAAGAAAAAAGAAATAATTTTTCAAAAAATCGATTGAATCATTTATTTAATAATTTTTCAATATAAACAATTTAAACTATATAATTAATTTTAACATAAATTAGATATGTATGTATACAAAAATGAGTACTTTTAACATTGCATGTATCTTAGCGATAACCGTAATTTCTTGGCAACTAATTTCTAAATTATATTCTCGCTTAACTGTTACAGAAGCAATTTACTATAAAAAAAAACCATGTGTACAATAATTTAATTAATTTTACACATCATTTTAGGTAAATAAGTAAATGTAAAAATAAAATAAAATAAAATAAAATAAAATAATTTATATATACAGACTAATAAATTAAATAGGTTATAGTATACGTGAAATATGTACACATAACTGCAGCTTACAATTATAAGTAAAACTTATCTAATGTTTACCAACACCGAAGTAATTAAATCACAAAAATAATTGGCAGCTTGCTAATTTAAAAAAATTCTTTACATTTATATGAAAATAGTAATAAAATAAAAATACTTTTAATATCATTTATAATGAAAATTCCTCTTCTCTTCCATGTACTCGTACCACTAGGAGTGTAATAAAAAATTTAATTCAACTATATTACATGATCGTACAAAACTCATTAAGCTACATTAACGTTACATTACATTAGATTAGATTAGATTATAATTACAGAAAATTACAGAGTTACACGACATTACAAAATAATGTTTATAATTATTTTACAATTTATTACAATGTATGCAATTTATATATTCAATTAAAATTTGAATCTAGTCCATTACATCCATCACATTAACAAAGTAATGGCAAGTATTTAATGAGTAATAAAAAAGTCCATTATAATCGAGTATTTCGGTTTATGTGGGATTGCATCAACCCAAAACGCTCTTCCATTTTGTAGGACGTGAAAAATTAGATTTTTGCTTTTATGCTTTTAAGTTTGTTTTAAAATACTATATGTTTTACTATTATTTGATATTGTTTTCTTAAACAACAGTTTAATTGGATTTTAATAGCTAATTATTTTTAGTTTTAAAATTTGAATTTAACGGAATTTAAATTTTAATTTAACAAATACATATAGCATACTATGTACTAATACGAAATTCCTTAAACAATACTTAAACTTTATTTTGACATTTTATTAAGTTTATTTTGACTTTTAATATACAACGCACTACCGTAGGGAACTAAAGTAAAGAGCTTACTTAGTCTAATTACTTATAATTAAGTACTTCTATACATAATTGATTGGTTTTAATAAATATGTTAATTTTGTGAGCTTTTATAGGCAGTTTTTTAAAATTGCGTCTTCTTGGCCTCCTGGTTCTATCACTATAATTACTATTTTCATTAAATGTACCTATCTCACTTAATTACTTTGTTGATTATCTATTATGATTTAAATAATTGTTATATTTTTATGAATTAGTTTTAATCGTAGCTTCATTTTATTTAAATTTGGCACATTTTTATATTAAGGTAAAGATTAGTATTCGAAGTAAGGTAGTTTAAGTTTTTAGGAATAGTCAAAACAGTGAGAACACATTAGTATATTTATATGCTACATTTTGTGGAGAATATTTTTACTATAATCAATTATTCTATAAGTTATTACACACTTTTTTCAAAACTTATTTTATATTACAAAAAAAATATTCCAGTAAGAGCACTTCTGTTAGAGTTACAAAAATACTGGGGCATATGAACAGTAAGTAACAGGTAATACGACCATATGAACCATTTTCTATCCATACATAGAGAGAAAGGGATTTCATTTCATAAGCTCAGCTGTCATCGCTATTATTAAAAGTAAGGAATGAAATAACAAAAGTAGCCAAAGAGAGGAGAGAGGGAGAGAGAGCTAGAGAGAGATAGAGAGAGAGAAAGAGAGATAGAGAGAGAAAGAGAGAGAAAAAGAGAGAGGAGGAAGACGATTAGTTTTAAACAAAGAAAGAGAGATAGAAAGGAAAAGGAAGGGAAAGAATGACAGAACGAAAGAGAAAAAGCGAGAAAGAAGGAAATTGCAATGAAAGAAGAGAATTAGAGAGGGACAGAGTAGAAGATGAAGGGAGCATAAGAAAAAGAGAGAGAGAGAGAGAGCAATAGAGACAGTGATATAGGCACGGTTGCCACTTGAAAATTTTTTTCTGTACCAAAATTGGTTTAAAAAGGTACCATTTCTGTAAAAAAGGTCCAAAATTTTTTTGGACCTTTTTGTTTTCTCGTTCTGTGTTTTTTATAGTGTTATAAATGAACAAAATATAAAATAGTGCAAATTTGCATTTATAAAAAAAATTAATTGGAAATATCCACAATAAAGTTGGGTCGTCAAAAATGTACCATCTTTTGAACATGAGTACCAAACGAAAAAAAAAGTACCAATTTTGGTACTAAAGTACCATAAGTGGCAACCGTGGATATAGGTACAGATTGAGAGATAATGAAATAGTGAGAACGAAAACGAAAAATAGAGAGAGGTGTTTAATGTTTTAAGGAGCCAAAAATTATAAAAATTGAAAAGTAAAATGATTGAATTTAACAAAAAATGACAGCCTTTAAATTGAGAGAAAAAATAAGAATTCTTAAAAAATGGTTACAGGGTATTCATGGTATATGACAGATAAAATAAAATAAGGAAACTATGTCTTATTTGTATAATGTCTTAATAAAACATTAATGGGAACAAACAAAATATAAAAAAAAAACCAACAGTTTTAAAAACTATGGATAAGGGAATAGATAAGGAAATAGATCATAGTTGATATAATCTGATAACTTATATCTAAAAACGAAGTGAAGGTACAGTAAGGAATAGAAACACAATTAAAACTGTATTAAGATGTGAAGTAAATGTAGAGTAAAATATGAAAATAAAGCAAAGATATAAATAAAAACTAGAAAGCAATAGCATGTAAGCATCGACTATGACAAAAGTGGGGCAAAAAGGTGTAACAAGAGAGCAGGTCAAAAGCAGTTTCGTTTCTTTTGAAGAGATAGTTCCTTTAAATATCGTGATAATATGGATTTAGTTTTACGCAATAGAGATAAGTCTACAGACATAACATACAATAGTAAAGATATTTTATATTGAGTGGATTGAGTGGATATGTGTCCTGCAGAGAAAATTGATTGAATAATATTATTTAAGTATGGATTTGTTTAATTCTTTTGAAATAGTTTCGAAGAATTGAAAAAACATGATAACACAAAAATATTTGCGTTTGTAAAATTCAGTGGGATTCGTAAAGGATTTGAATATGGAATGATGAATGGATAAATAAAAAATAATTTGAGTATTTTGGTGTTTAGTACTAAAGTAGTAGCGGTTCTAAATTATGTGTACATTTAACTGAAACGAAATTCGCTTCACATATAAATTACTTCAGTTCTCACTGTCGTAGGAATTAAATTTTTATAAATTCGAAAAATTTATAAAATTCAATAAGTAGTTGTTGTTTGTGCGAAAGTATTTTGCGTATAAAAAATTAGGAACAAGAATATCATTAACACGACTAAAACTAAAAGTAAATAGAATAAACAACTAGCTTATAAATAATATATATGTACATACACAGAAACTCGCTTAAAAGTAATTATCTGTTAGCAAGCAAACCATTAGCAGGTGGCAGCACTGCACTCGTCGTTGTTGTTGTGGGTCCATTAAGTTGCAAATTAGTACCCAAAATATTCCCAACTGTAGCTGAATTGGCGACAATGTTTGCATTCGATACCGCACTGCTAACGCTAATACCGCGGTGCTGTGCAGTGTTTACAGCCGAGGCAGTTGCTGTATTCCGGTGATGTTTAGCAACCCCACCGCCCTTGACAATGCCACCATTATTCTTTTGTGCCATATGCGTCTGGTAGTGCTTGGCTAAATGCGCTTTCTGCCGAAAACTTTTGCCGCACAGCGAGCAGGCGAATGGCTTTTCACCCGTATGGGTGCGTATGTGCACATTCACCGAGTATTTATCCTTAAAACCTTTGGAACAGATGGAACAATAGTGGAGTGAGCGCTCCTTACGTTGACCATTGCAGTGTGTGGGACTATTGCTGCTATTGCTGCTACTGCTACCGCTGCTGGTACTGCCCACACTGTTGCCGGTGCTGTTACCGTTGTTATTGTTCGCAATATTACTGCCACCGTTGTTATTGTGATTCATGACATTAGGATTGTTGTTATTGTTACTATGTGTGGCTGATGTGGTGCGTTTATATTTCTTCACAGTTTTTGTTGACGTTGTTGTTGTGCCGCTGACAGATGCCAGTCGATTTCCCGTTGACGTAGAAACTTCCGGCTTTAGTGGTTGAGGTGGTTGTGTCGGCGGTACAGTCTGCATATGCATTGAATTTGATAACTGCGATGGTATCGTTGTTGTTACGACACCACCTGTTGGTGTTGTTGCTGGAGAATGCAATTGTTGGAGTTGTGCACTTTGTGTGTTTGTTGGCGAGAGTTGCATCATGACATCATTACTGCTGTAGTCAGTAGTTGGTGTTGATGAACAAAACTGCTGCACTTCATTAGCGATGCGTTTGATTTTCTCAAAGTCATCGGTGAAGCTTTCTAACGATAGGAACATCTCATCTACTATAATGCTAGAAACACTGTTACTGGCATTTGTGCTGGCATTGGTTAGTGAACCATTGGCTACTGGCGAATGTTGAATTAAATGTGAACTTTGAGTATCATCGAACATTTGTGCGGCATTTAAAGCGGAATCGCCAAAGGAAAGTGCATCCTGTGGATGATAAATAGGAAGAAAAGTTTTTTTTTTAAAAAATGAAAGTGACAAAATATTTAATAAAATAAAATTAAATAAATACATATTATTATTATTATTAATAAGAATTAATAGAAGGATGAATAATAAAGAATAGTAATTATATGTCATATGGATTAAAGAGTTCAGACTCACTGTGTCAGTTGGAAACAATATGCGTCGCATTTCATCATCCTTAATAGTGGGCGATGTGGGCAGTAACGTTAAACCATTTTGCATTTGCAAACCCTTCGAATATCCTTTACCTTGTAGAGCGCTACGTAGAAGTGATTCTGCGGAGTTCTTTAAAAATAAAAAACAGTAAAAAAAAAATAATTTAAAAAAGCATTCATTAATCAAAAATTAAAAAAAAAAATAATCAATTAAAGAAATATATTCTTACATATTGATTTGTAGGAAAATTTTGAGAAATATTTTCGGCAAAACTTACCTGCTCCGCATTGTGATTTGTCATATGCCAATCATTATTGTTATTCTGGAACTGTGCCAACTGCTGATTATTGCCAAGGCGGCTAATACTGCCAGTTCCTGATATGGCTGTTATTAAGGAGGGCAAACTTTGACCACTAACTGTGCCCGCCGACAGATCATGATGCGTGCCTACTTGTGATAAACTTATGCCATTAGCATCGCTATTGGCATCTTTTGTGCCATCAGTGCTAAAACCACTATCATCATATGGATATTCCGACTTAATATAACCAGGAAAATTGCCCAATAGGCTGTCCAGATCTAATGAGTTTGCCAATTGCGTGTCAGGTTCACGTTTAAGCCATGGCTCATTGCCGTTTAATACTGTTAATGTGTAAATTTGTCCGTCACCATTATCAATGCTGCTGACAGTGCCTGTACTGCTGGGTTGGCTAATGCTACCGCTTGTGGTTGGAGAGGATGTGCTAGTGGCATTGTGAGTAGTGTTACTGCAGTTTCCAACATTGCTCAATTGTTGGGTGGGTGATTGTGCATGCGTATGTGCAGTAGGTGACTGGTGTTGAGTGTTAGCTTGTTGTTGCCAACAATAGCGATCAAGGTCTTCGAATATGGTAGACTCAAGGCGACTGTGATCCTTATCGGTATGCCAGAACTGAAAATGAAGAATGAAATTTTTGATGTATTTGTAAAGAACGTTATTGATAATACTAGAAATACACAATAATGTACACAAGTATGATTTGGAGATGTTAAATAAAAATTTGCTTTAGAAGTGATATAAAGAAAAGAGCTGACTATCCTATTATTACTAAAAAGTATGATTATTATAATTAATTGTTGTATTTAAATTGAAATTTTTAGAACTTTTTGAATTCTTTAAAGTAATTTTTACATTGATTCTTATGTCTTTTGCCATAAATCTGCTTTTGGGTTTTCTGCCCTGGCTTTTTGTTTATTTGTATTATTGTAGTCACTGTAGGGTGTTTGTATCAGTTTTTCTTAAATATGAAGTAAACAATGGTTTGGAGAATTAATCCTTCAATAGCGATGACAAAACTTGAGTATTTGCATTCGTCCTTATATACAGTTCCTTGGTTTAAAGCATAGTCAAATTGTAATGAGCTTTACTGCATTTCCCAGGTAGTTGGGCAGTTGATCTAAATTAGATTAACTATCTGTGTTGTTTCATAAACTTTTATTCATTTCTGTATTATTTTTATTGTCTTTATTAGAATTTCATATAATTAAATAGTGATAGACATTCTTAGTTCAGTAATATCCTCCTACCCTAGGTTAAACCCCAACATTTACAATAAAATTGACTGAAGTTCTTTTTTGTTTCTAAGCAGAGCCAACATTTTATTTCTTTAGTTAGATTTAATATTTTTAAATTATAATTCAGACTATATTAACCCTTTAGGTGACCAGTTAATATCTTTTGTTTTACTGAACATGAACATCATACCATAGTTGTAAGGATGAATTTTGACAGTAATTACTCATAAAGTCGTATCAATAGCTTTATCTTTTGATTAGAAACAATTTATCTTTCAAAAAGTTATGTAGTTGTGAATCAAGTTATACAGCTTTACAAGGTGAGATGAAAAAACTGCAACCAACTTCAGACTGCTGTCATTCCTAAACCGCTCGTCCCACAGCTGTCAGATTTATTCTAGTGACAGCTCATTATATTGTTTACAAGCGCACAAAAGCATTTTGGTGGGAATTTTTCAGAAAAAAAGTTATTTGTGATGGAATTCAAACGTGATAGTGTGATTGCTTTGCATTTGGCTGGAAAACCACAAGTGGCTATCGTTAGAGCCCTCCAGCATTTAAAAGTGAATAAATCTTTTGTGTCTCGTACCATCGCTCGTTACCATGGTACTGGTAGCGTAGCCCGACGTCAAGGAAGTGGACGAAAAAAAACAGCAACATCGGCAGAAATGGTTCGAAAAGTGAAGAAGCGAATTGAACGAAATTCGCGTCGCAGTGGACGAAAAATGGCTCGTGAGCTGAACATATCGCAATATGCCATTCGGCAAATATTGAAAAATGAGCTTGGACTAAAGCCATTGAAGTTCCAAAAAGTGCAAGTTCTTACTGATGCGCAAAAAAAAGTTAGACTCGAAAAAGCTAAAGAGTTGCTTCGCTTGGCCGAAAGTGGTGAACTGCCGAATTTGGTTTTCCTCCGAGAGAAACCATTCGTTATCCAGCAGTTTGTAAACAAACAAAATGATCGTGTTTACTTGCCAGAGAGGTCAGCTGAAAATTTGCAACTTCTGTTGGCCACCACAACTCAAAAGCCGGCCATGGTGATGGTGTGGGCCGCCATAACAGCCGATGGTCGCTCGCCGCTCGTATTCATCGACCGTGGGGTCAAAATCAATGCGCAAATCTATCGCGAAAATATTTTGGAGGGAGTTCTGAAGCCCTGGGCACGCAAACATTTCGGCCGCAGACCTTGAACATTCCAACAGGACTCAGCACTATCGCACTCAGCACGCGCCACCCAAGAATGGTTAAGAAATGAGGTTCCTCGCTTCATTTCCACCGCACAATGGCCACCAAAATCTCCGGATGCCAATCCGTTGGACTATTGTGCCTGGGGTATTTTGGAAAGCAAGGTTGGCACTAAAAAATACCAAAGTGTCGATCATCTCAAGCAAGCGCTTCGCCGAGAATGGGACAAAATACCACAGAGCCACTTTCGGGCAGCGTGTGATGGTTTCATTGGCCGTTTGAAGGCCATAGTTCGTGCCAAAGGTGGCCAATTCGAACAAATCTAAACCGATTCTCAAATTTGATGTTATTTCCGACATTTTTTGCTTTCATTCAATAAAATTTAAAAAAAAAGAAAAAATTATGGCGTTTTACTTTGTTGCAGTTTTTTCATCTCACCTTGTATAGATGCGATATACAGAATTTGATGACTAATCTGGTCTCTAATAGATAATTATCTAGAAGTTCATTTCTATATCTGAGTTAGAAAGAAAGAATTTATTTGATTGGAATAGCAGTTCACTAATTTTTACTTTTCCTATTGCAAAAGGCGTAGTCAACCTAAACAGTATTTTCTTATATATGCAATATATACTGAATTGTATATTTCTTATAATCGATCTGAATTATTTTAATTTTAAATATATATTTATATTAGTTTTATGTTGGATTTCCGGCATATTTCTCTCATCAGACCTGTAATTATTTGTTTCCGATAAGTCAATAATCAACGTAACATACATGGGAATCAAGCAATAATATCAAATAGCTACTGGTTACACTAGTGGCGAATGTCATTTTACAAGATATTTAGTATATAACATTCAATTTAAAGTTTCTTTTTTGAAAGTTCTATTTGTTGAGACCCAATTAAATATTATTTAATACTTTTATAACAATAATATCTTCATATCACAGACACTATTAAGTAAAAGTGCTTTAAACATTAGCGTTTACCTATTTAATATAGGAGACTAGAGCAGAGATAGATCAAAAAAAGAAAATGATTACGAATTGTTACAGTACTATGATCCATGATATTTTATTACTATTGTGTTAATGTACGCGATCTGTGGTAATTGTTGCCTTACTACTTTAAGCCTGTATTCAATACAAAGCAGTGAATTTCAAGGATCCTTGTGATAACTTAACTTACATATACTGAAAAGATGCTTAATTGTAAGTTATAGTTATAGAAATATCATAACTAAGTCCTTCTCCAATTTTTGTTTCTATAATTTTCTTATTAAATGTGCAAGTAGAGCTTGGTATGTTGTCTTATATGTTGATTTCAAATTAATGTACCACAAATGTACGTGTCATGTTTGTTGTCAACTTACAACCACCGCATATGCCACTAAATCTCCCATTTTGTTAAGGAGAAATAGATACAAAAAAAGTATTTCCACAAAATCGATCGATGTTTGGAGCAAACGCGTGCCAGTAAGTTAACATGCAGAACAAAATGCATTTTCATGCAGCAAACAATGACACTGACAGCAGCTTACGTTGGCTGCTTCAGTGCCTGCACATCAATAATGCCAACAACAAAAGAAAAGAGAAAACCCAACACAAGAGTTAAATGAACCAACTTTTGTTTCCTGAGTAGCCATGACAAAACTGGAGCAAGTGCACAAAGCACACCCATACCCGTACTTAAACCCATAGAAGCCGCACGAAAATCCCACTGACAATGAAGGCACAACATTGACGGACAAAGCACGTGCTGCATGCAACAAATGCTGCATACAATGCGGCACTTAACAACGCCGTTAGCCACACATTGTTAGCCAGCATCGTTTGTGGCGTAGTTGTGGCTTATGGGCTGCTGTAAACGTACTGTACCTTTGAGTAGGCGCACGCTTCGGATGCAATGGATTTATGCCTTGGTTTATAGAATATATAACACTCGTATTTTGGTATTGAGTAAAATCATTTGTCTGGAAATTTTGTGTAAATATGTGTTTTTATGGATGTCTGGTCCATACAAAGAGTATAAGGAATGCATGCAGTATATTAGAGATTATATATTAGAGATTTTCTAATAAATACTTATAATATTTGATTAAGTTTATTTTGCAATTAAAATATATTTTCTTGCGTTAAAATGTTTGTTTGTGTGTACACTTAAAATATGTGTTTAAGCCTTAAAAACTGCTTTCCCATAATTTATTTCGTTTTTCTGTAATTTTCGTTAATAATAATTTAAATACTTTTACTGTGCAATGTCACAGCATAAATAAAACTCATTCGCTGCTTTGCTTCATTGCAATAAATTACCAGTGTCTTACACTGAGAGAAATTTTAACAAAAATGCTTGGCAGTATTTCCACTTCGACTTGCGCGAGGGCATCTTTCACTGCTCATCTGCTGCTGCGCATAAAAGTGTGAGTCTGGCTGGCGCAAAGAAAGGAAATAATAATTTATAATTTTATGCTTAATTTGCTGTGGTAAATAAATTAAGTATATAAAACAAAAAACATTAAAACATTAAAAAATTAGCAATGTTTTTGGCTTGTTTTTAAACGTTGTGACCGCTTTAGAGCTTAAGTCGGCGCAGAGCTAGCAAATATGCCATGGAATAGCAGCATGGAACAGCATGGAGCAGCATCTGCAGCATCTACAGCATCTTCAGCAGTTTCGGTGGTACAATGCGTGCTTATATGTCTGCCACTGAAGATGCGGTAATTGCTAAGCGCATAATTCAACCGCATAAAAACTTCAATTCAAATCAATAAAATCCACAATGTATAAATCTTTTTACACATAAACATAATTGATGAGTTACGATAAAAATGAAATGTCGGCTTAATGAAAATTAATCGTGGTAGCTGATAGCAGTAAACTGGGAATCGAGTTGAGCCGGCTGAGAATAACAAATCTCTTTTTCCATATAAGCCAGATGAGCAAATTAAATTTGTTTATTTAAGGCTATTGTTTAATTGTAATAGGATTTTGCATACGTTATGTTTAATTTGATTTCATTGTATAATGATTTTTTTTATTCACGTTGCAACGTCATCTTTTCATCTGCACTACTCGTATATTATTGATGGGCCAACAGTTTGCAATAGCAGACTTTAAGACGCTACAGTCAATGGCAAAGCAGCATTAATCGTTTTTATCATTCCAGTCGATATTTTATGTAATGGTTTTATAATCAAATTTCTTGGATCTAATTGTAATTTCCTAACATTTGTATTTGGGATGCTGATGTTAATGTTAGCAAATCTAAAATAGAGCAATAAAAAATTAATTATATAGTAAGGAAATTGTTTATAAAAACTCTTTCCGCAGCAATTTTTCTTTATTTTCATTTTATATTTGTAGTGCAGTTTACGAGCACTGAAAATAAGAAATATTTATATGAAACTATGAAAATATTTGTACAAATATTTCTGAAAAATTTTTTTCCATTGTTTTTCAGTGTACTTAGTTAGCATCTGTTCATTTTTGCTTTTCTGTGCTGTTTTATGACTTATGTTCCTACATAATTGGTGCTGTTAGCTAACTATTTGAATTAACTAGCACCAATTCGTTTCTTGTTTACTATACTATTTTACGGTTTATGTTGTCTCTTTATTAGTGATTTGCTGAATTTTTGTTTTTCATTTTATTTTACGATTTATGTTGTTATTTTATTGGTGCTGTTAGTTGACTCTTTGACTTCGCTAACTCCAATAATGTGTTGATTACTCATTACATGCGTGAAGAGTAAAGATATATATATATATTGTAATTAATATCAGTTTTATTTAAAAGAGCAGTTAGAAATTACAGCGACATTTTTAATGCATAATTTAAATTTAAAGTTTGTGTCATTTAAATTTTAAATTTGAGTTATTAAATGACCGTTCTGCTAACATTATTAACCATAATGTTCATTATAGTGATTGCCGTTAAATTAGATCTATCTGTTGCACTGTAGATAAATGATATATATGTTATGAATTAAATTCAATTTTCCGCTAAATATTTGGAGTGCATTCTGTATTGTTTTTATTGACTGATGTTTTATTGAAGTAAAATTTTAACGCCCGATAATTAGACAAAAATTTGCAAGAATCTTAAATCATTTATTGTTCTTTTAGTTATTATTAAAAAAAATTAAAATATTTCTATACAACCAGCACATCTTCAGAAATGCTTCACATTTGTTGTTTGTAGTATTGAACTTGCAGGACTTGCACTATATGCAGACTAGCATATAGTGCAATCATTTCTATTATGTTGATTCCATTACTTTCAGAACTTTAATGATTCTAATATTTAAAGTGCAAATGCTGGTATCTTAATAGACTGGGATTTTAAATATTTAAAATAATATTTAAATTAATTAAATTTTTATGTTTTTTATGGAAAATAAGGGATTCGTAAGATTATATTAGAACATTATATTGTAAGAGTCCTAAAGTGCAGACTTTCATTTACTTCAAAAACTAAGTCTCTTTAAAGGTAGAATCTCATTGCCGTTTATTGTTTTAAGTTTTCGAGATCTAGTTGTTAGCAATTTAACAAAATTTTACCAGGTATTTATTTGCACATACTCTTCGAAACAGATACGTCCCACGTAGAATAAATACCACAGAGAACAGATGTCTAAGATTTACATGTAAGAACGTATAATATCTCAGAGCTGTCTCAGCGGTAACAGAAAGAGTTGAGCTCAGTTTTTTGAAAAGAATCTTTGTTCAACATAAAGCATTATATACAGTTTTAGATATATTTACAAATACAATATGACTTTTCGCATATTTTGATACTCTTAGGAATAAAAGCTGGGAACAAAGCACCATGACTGCGGTATTAAGAAATAATTTTTAGGTTTTTGAAAATAATCTTTACATATAATAAATATGAATGAAAAAGAACCGGAGAAGAAAATGCAAAGAGCTGGAAATACAGACGAGTAGAGGAAGAATAATAAATAGAGACTGAACATGTTGTTATATCACTCTTCCTATTTAAATCCTTGTGTTAGAGATAAATGTTTTAAATGTGTACCAAGTTTGCATGACTTAAAAATTTATTAAAAAAATATTAAGGCTAAAATTTAAATAAAAGATTTAAATAAAATATGGCATAATATTATTAAAATTTTATAGATTAGTTTGCCACTTACCTCATAGCTCTGCAGCGTAGGATCACTGCAACCATTATTTGAGTTATTGAGATTACTATTACTATTTCCTCCATTTCCTCTAACATCCGTGCTACTTCCACCTCCACCGCCGCCATCATGACTTATATTGGCCGCTGTTGGTATACGTTCATGACTATGGTTATGTGGATGCAGGCTTACTCCAACACCAATGCCAATATCCATATCAGGTGCTGTCACAAAATCGAAAAAATCCGTTTTCGATAAATCCTCCGGTCGAAAGGATTCAGTAATATCCATGCCAGTAGATGACATTTCATCGGTGCCAATCATTTAGTGGGCGGGTTTTTTGTGAAAATATTAATTTTTTTATCCCCCTTTCGTGATAAGTGATAAGCAGTTTTTTGTCATGTGCTAATTTTGAACCTGAAATAAAATAAAAAACATTATATCACATTATATATTATCACATTACATAGACAAATTAACCATTAATTGATATATATAACTAAATTTATTGAATGTAACTTAATGGTAAAGAAACTATAACAAAGTTCATCCAAGGCTTGTGTGCAATTATAAATAAAAACTGATAGGTAGTGATATCTTACTGCGACATCCGTTAATATCCAGATATGCCACTCATAAGAAAAAAAATAATAAACATAAATAGACAATAACGATTAAAGAAGATACTTTCTGTTGACGTAGAATAAATTATGCAAAATATAAAATATATGTGGTACGAATTCTGATTAATACTTGCAACTGCATTGATCTTCATAAGCTGTGGGAAATAAAAAATAACATCCATATATATAAAATATACTTGTCATTGTAATTTTATACTTATAATTACATATATATTTATATAAATATATAGAAGACTATATTCTAATAATTACTTAGCATAATATCTATACATATAAACTTATAGAGACACTGCAACTTATCAACAAGGAATGTGTTATATCCAATGTATTTAAGAGCATTTTTATAGGTATGTTATTTGTAGACCCCCCTCTAGTTCCAATTAAATAAACCAATTTATTTGCTTAGCTAATGGATTCAAAAGCAGCTAATTTATCTTATTTGACTTTTATACTTTATAGCGGTTTTAATAGATGCCCAATTGATTAATTCGCTTTATTGTTAATTGTTGATTCCTTGGTTTAATGATAATGGCTTGAAGCCAAACAAATAGACTTCTTCTAAGTTGATTTTGGACGATCGTAATTTATACAGATACTGATGTGTTTCCTTTTGAGATGCTGTAAATTAAATAGCAATAAACACAACAGTAAACAATTCGAAACTAATAAATATTTTGAATTGTAATTAAGGGAGGAAAATGCCAATAAAAGTAAAAAAATTAATTAGTAATTAAATTGTAACTCTTTGGCAAATACATTTTGGACTCCATGTACACATTGTTGGCAAGTTTACAAGTTTAATGAAGTAACACAGCTGCTGTGGAATGAGTGGCGTGAGGAGCGTGAGGAGCGACAACAACAAGTGCAATGCAATGATGCAGTGGAGCAGTGCATAGAATGCAGAAATCTATAAAAAACTAAAACAGTAAAAGTGTCACAAGACACGACGTTGCTGGAATTATCAATTAACTTTTATGCCGCACTCAGCTTTGCTGTGCTAGCAAATGTTTAGCGGTGGCAGGGGAGCAAGCAAGATGCAAAAGTTCCTTTATAGGATTTTCTTAAATAAAATAACTATTAAAAATAGAAAATATATGGTAAAAAAGACTTCCATGCCATAAATTTTGTTTGTGGTACATTTATGCACTTTGGTGCAGTGCAACAAGAAGTGCAACCAATCACGGTTACAAGCTGTAAAAAGCACTTGAGTCGAGCAAACAGCAATCGGTGCTTGTCTAAGCTGTAAATTTGGCTTGCCTGCCTGCGCTTACCTGAGCTTGGCTTCACTTCACTTAACTTGGTTTGGATTGGTTTGGTTTGCTTTGGCTATGGCTTTAGTTTGGTTTCGTTTAGTTTGGTTTGGTTTGGTTTGGTTTGGGTTGTCTTGTCATGTCATCATTGTAAGCATCATCATTATCATTCACATTGACAACAGCATTTACCATATTTTTAATCAACTGCAAATGCATAAAATTTGATGTGTTTGCAATGATGTCTGACCGTGTCACAGTCGCAAAACACGCATTAATCAAATTTAAATTACAGAAATTCAATTTCTGTCGTGTGTGGATGACTGAAGCAACAACAACACCAACAACAACAACAACAACAACAAACATATAAAGAATAGTTTAAGATATTATATCTTAGCTTCTATGTTTTTTAATTGTTTTTCAAGCATAAATTTCGGTCACAGCAATAATTAAACAATTTTGCCCATCCAAAAAGGCAATGGAAGCCTTGGTGAATTTATGTGTCTCTTGGGTACTTAATGGGTGAAAGATGTGGAGGAGCTGCTGTAAATATCATAATTAATTGACACTTTATGCTCTATAATTATATATATAGCTTTTAATTAAAATAAAGGGTATGAGAGCTGGAGCTGCACTATACCATAGTTACTGACTCGCTCTAAACTGTCGTTATAAATTAACTTTATACCGTATTAATGAAGAAACTGTTATGCAATTATTTTATTAATTAAACACTATTTTCATTTCCAATTTCCATTTAATGTATTTGCATATTTGTTACCAGTTTTTCTTTTTTGTTGGCGCTGGAAAGGAAATTGCTTGCCAATTACAGATAACACTGTACTGCACAATTTCGGATGCACAATTTAGTTAACTTATGGCCTTTCTTGCGGGTGCAACGAATCCATGTACAGCAATAAATTTCGAATTTGCACTTAAATTGTAGTGGATCAATTAAGTGGACAGAAAGTAAGTCAATTTGTTCATTTTTTCTACACGAGTGGATATTGAGAAAGGAACGTTAATGTGAAGTTAATGTAAAAATTCCAATCCATTCGTTTTTCGGCATTTGGAAAGGAGGAGTGTTTGAAGCATGCTTAATAGTCAATAAAGTAAAATATCTTATCAATATATCAGGAATGTCATGAATACACTATAATTAAAAAGTAAGCAGTTACAAGCATTAATTTTATACTATGCATTTAATTTTTTGTGAGAAATTAGATTTCGTTAATATTTAGCGCTATTGACAAGTTTTTGGATTGAAATTAGAAACTTAATTATTTAAGTATTATTTTAGAAGGTGATTTTTGTTGAAACGATTTAAGTTTATATAATTGTGATGTCTTCATTTCGCAAGAATCTTTATTAATCAAATCAGATGTTAAAATTTGATTACAAAAAATGACACAAGGGGAATGGCCAATCAATCGATTCGAAATGCAATTTATGACCTTAAATTTTAATTTGCAAATGAGACGTTTCCGACTAACAACACAGTTTTCATCGTGAATGACTTTTTAATCCAATATTTTGACTGTCCTTTAGATTCTGTAGTGGTGGAGTATATTTCAATAAAAGCTATGAATCTATGCGAAATATACATCCTGGTTTCCTTAGTTGGTACAAACTCAGCAAATGTGGTACGGGCATGAGCCGGAAGGTTTTCACTAAATTCACTAAATGTGTTCAAGTGATGATCATGGGGCAGAACAGGTAAATGTAAATCATACTAGGTAGAAAAGATATCACGGACTTAACACGAACCATTTCTGACATTTGCTGTTGAATATTAAACCAACAGCTTTTTCCAAAGACGATGATATTTGGCGATATCGAAGACAGTTGTAAAATCATTCCAAAAATTGACGTGTTTGAGGATTGGAAGGTGTTTGAATTTAAAAATTTCCACACCATCCATATCTTTTTATTTAAAGAAGAAATCATATCATATAACATACAATTTTTTTAAAAAAATATGAAGCAAATAGTGCATTTACTAGAAAGGGAGTTCTACAAAGCCTAGTTATTAATATTTAAATATTATATGAAATATATCTGGAAAGAGTATTCCCTTAGTTCTTGCGAATTTAAAGTAATTAGTTTTAATAATAACGTAAAAGAAATAATTTTTACTACTCATTGGTTTTGTAAATTTGTCAATAAGTAGTCAGCTTTTTATTATCAATAGCTTTAGGGCAAAAGATAGGGAGAGTATATGTGGTTAAACCAAAAGAGGAAATATTTCCGAGTATGAGTCAAGAAAACTCAGTTTTTCACAGGGAAAAAAACTGAGTTTTGTATATACTTATACAAGAGAAAATATGTATATATTTTCTCTGACAGCACTCTTCCTCTTCTCAGCACTCCTAGTACTACGCTCACCTCGAATGACTTCAAAACTTGTGTGGGAATACTTTCAATTTCTCAAAGATCTTGCTGAAAGAAAAATGGTTCACTTAATATGGATCTCAGGACACAGCGGAGTTGAGAGAAACGAGAAAACAGGTGAACTAGTCAAAAAATTAGCGGTCTTATATGGTATTATAATGGGTCACAACTATTCTGCTGTCTTTCATGGAGCTTTTTTAAACTTATAATTAATGAATGGCTGAAAAGAGTAGTTCAATCTGATTGGTATAATGCCACTGCCTGCAGACAAGCTAAAGAATTCATACTGAATCGAACAAAAGCCAGAACTGGGGAGTTTCTAAAGACCTCTTGTCACAGGGTTTTTCACTGATCATTGCAAAGTAAAAAAATGTCTATCGAACCTTCATATTACAAGAGCCGATGGTTGCAGACTTTGTTACGAAGAAGAGGAAACAGCAGAATATATTTTGTGTCACGGTGATAGTCTCGCCAGACTCAGACTTCGGTGCTTATCAACTGCCTATCCACTTATAATGGAATAAGGCAATATTTCTTCAAAGGACATAATGACATTTTTAACTGATACTTATCTATGGCACTAAAGTGGGTTTGTCACAATAATTCTCAATGGATGCAGTGACGTGGTGAAAAGTTCCCAACCCGTTAAAAATCTAATCTATTCTAACTTGATCTTGGGCAAAAATTGATAATATAGGCAATTATAATTATAAATTTATAACAATTACGAGTAAAAATTTGTTACCTTATACAGTTTATAAAAGTATTTAGACGGATTTACGAAAGAATTCAGAATTCTCTTATCGTAGTTATGAGAATTTACTCTACTAAAATATTTTTTACATTTATGTAGTAAATGGTGAAATTGTTGTTGATTGGCTATGATTAAAATAGTTTTATTTGATATTGTTTATCTTAGTATTGTTAACAAAAATGTTCTATTTCTTCCTTACTTTTACGAGTATACTCTTAATTGTGTTTAAATTTGTAGTGTTTTTAACACCTGTTAACGAACAACTTCATATTTTTTTTGATACTAGGCTTACAAAAACTACAATTAAACTAGTTTGAACGCTTAGAGCAAATTACAAATG